AAGGTGGAGGTAGGGAGGGAAGGGTTGGATGTAAACCGACGTGAAGCAGCAAATAGAAAAAAAAAAACGACAATCCACTTTCGGTTAGGCATCTGGCGGAGCTACGTGACAAAGCGACCGCTCACTGGCGAGACACGTAGGGTAGGGGAACGAACTCCTCCAGTTTGAGCCCCTTCGCTGGTAACTAGCCCTTTTGCGATATCGTTGCATGTCGTTGCAGGGCCAGTAGCCCGCAGAGACGGTTCAAACTGGCGGAGTTCGTTCCCCTACCCGGGACACGTAGTCGAAATTATTTCTGAACCGACCCGCATCAAACTTGGCACACATACACTTTGGGGTGGGGTGAGTTCGTAGGCTGATTTCATCATTGATCGCTTTCAATTTTATCGATTTTTTGCAAAGTTCAAGCTACGGGGCTGGGAGTTGGCACTGGGGGATAAGTGAGCATGTTGATTACGAAAATATTATTGACAGGGCTTTGCGCTGGGTTTGCCAGCTTGTGAACTCACAAGGAAAGCTAAATGACCTAGCTCGGCCTTTTGGCAAGGGAACATGTATATATATTCTAAATCAGCTTCGAATTCCGTGCACCATCCCGAAACAAGTTATGAGCTTTTTCTGCGCGAAATTGCATATATCAGACATGGGAAGAGTGCCTGCAGGTATTAATGCAAGCAAAAAGTGCTGAAATACTGAAACAGCATCACATCCAATCTTTTCTCATTGAAAGAAGCTAACGCAAGCGTATTAGAAAGCAGTCAATAACTCGTTCCAGATTGATGCGCCGCAGCTAGGAATAGCATATTTGGAATCAGCCTTTGAATGCGATTCACACCATACAAATATCTTCCTAAAAGGCCGAGTTAAGACAATTACCTTCCCTTGTCAAACGCTCGCACGGGCTGGCGACTCTGCCGGCCGTCGGTGACGGACCAGCCGGCAGCCGCACAGCATAGTTGCGATAGGGGGAGTGATGAATCTTACTCCCTTCACTTTGAGGCCGAACTCCGGGTGACCCCCTTCACCTGGGCTGAGATTGGTATTCTACTCTGAGAATATAAAATAAAAATCGTTATTAAAAGTTTTTGCAGGGCTAAGTACCTCAAACAACAAGTACACTCATGAATCTACAAAAAAACGGTATTTATGCTTACTCATATCATTTATTCATCAAAAAAAGCATCTACAGAAGCACAAACTCCTTCCGAGCATTCATAAATACGTCCCTAAGTGTTACAGCTGAAAATTAATCAATATTATTTTTGTAATATAATCAACTCTTCTTTGTATCAAAGCTACAACTCTTTGGGTATATTGCGACGGTAAGTGAGGACACAAAAGTTAATTTTTGAAGTACATAAAGTCCCTCATATCTCGCGACACAGAAGACCTACAAAAAATTCGACGGTCTATGTCGATTCTCCATGATCTCAGCTTTCGAATGGTATGAAGGTGTTAGGGCTTCTTTGCTTCCCGGCTCTAAAAAGCACTTGCTCCGGTGACCCATAAAAACCAATACACTGTAAGAGCGAGGTGGAGCAAGCTGATAGTAAAAAATGTGCTCACGGGAACGTGAGCGAACGCGTCTGTCTAAGCGTGCTTGTCGTTGTTATATGTTCATGTTTTATTAGTAAAAAATGCGCTTTTGATTGACAGTTATGCCATCATTATCGCACACACTCAAAGACTATGGGAGATTGGTGAATTTCCACACCTTCACACAAAAACCCGTCCATTTCTGGAATCTATACTCTGTAAACCTAGTCCTGAAGAAGGTCACTTTCGTGAAAACGCTTTAGACTCACCTAATGGTAGAGAGTGGTTGGTTTTAATGAATTAAAAACTTTAAGGCATCCAGAAGAACAACATGTTATTAAAATATCCTTCAATGTTTTGGAAAGGTTGGCAGTTTGAAGAAGGAACGGCAAGCAGAATACTTTACAAAATCGCAGATGACTCGCATGTGTTTCAGTTCAACAGCGAGACAGAAGGAGAATCTTACGCCGACGAAAATGTTGTCGACATTGATACAAAGTTGACAATTGAGCAAAACTCTCTGAATTCCTACATAAGGAATCCAAGCAGATTGCCTAGCTTCAATGAGGAAATGTCCAGGAAGTCCACTGCTGATCTTCAGGTTGCTGAAGATTTCAAGGCTAAATTAACGAACATGGTATGAAAAGGAAGGTGTTAGTACAAAGCATAGCTACTGCTTTTAGATCCCGACTGGAGTACTAACCCAACTCTGTGCTTTATGCTTCTGGAAGTTTTTCGCCTTGTGACGTTATGACCTATGATATTGAAAAAAACTAACGTGCAGCATAGTATCTACTTTTTTCGGCTATTCCGCAATGCTGTTAAAGAAGAAGTTGAGTAGCTTTCTCATCAGCTAACAAGACGTATGCCAGAGGAGGTGAAGCCAGAGTTCGACAAGGCCCAAAAAGTATGCAATATTTCCTTCCCGTGTTGCGAAAGCATAAGCGATGTGGCTCTTTCCCCATTACTTACCGCAAAAATCTGATGGACTTACTAGCAAAGCTAGTTTCCATTCCGACTAGCACGGCAGAGTTGGAGAGAGGATTTTCTATCTACTTTGTTATCAGAACACAACATAGAAGTCGCACAACGGTGGAGCATCTAAGCATACTTAAGGTTTGTCAACCTTCTATTAAACATATTGTCATCTAAATACTTCATTCAAAGGATTGCCATAAGTGGTCCAGACAGGCTATCACCTATGACTTTTTAAAATATCCTAAAAAATGGTACGAAGAAACTGGTCACCTACGTGCTGACTCTCCTGGTGCTACAGGGCCAGGAAAAAAATCACAAACGCGCTTAGAAGAAGAAGAACGTTTCAAATCCATTTCGACTCAGAACGCTTTTTCACGCAATTCTACTTCTACTCCGATGACCTTTTGGAGGAAGAAAAAGGTCTCTCGGGCAGAGAACTTGTTGTCTCTGACGTTAGCGATAGTGATATTATTGATGAGGAATTGTAAGTTGTTCCTAACTTGTACATCTTTTCGGATAAACCTAATTGCTTTCGTTTTTTGTTGATGCAATGAAACAAGAGCACAGATCTTCAACCATTAAATAAATAAATTAAACTACTAAATTACGGCACCATCTTCCTACTTTCTATCCTAGGAATTTCAGGCTGTTTCTTTCCCAGCGAGTTACAAAATTTCACGCTAAGAAATCCCAATTCGTTTCTAGTGAATAATCAGGGAGCCTCTCAGGATTTTTTTTAAGCTTTAGTTACGAATTTTCATAGTACGTTGCTTATGCGGGAGTTTGGCATCTTTCGGGAAGACGCAAAAGGTTTTATTTGCAGGAAAATCTGTGCATAAGGTAAAATTTGACGGGGGGTTTATCTTGCCGCGCCACTGCTTTCAATACGTTTACGACAGGCCATTTCAGTTGCTGCTCGGACTCACGGTTCCTACCTTCTCGTTCTTATTTCGATCATCGATGAGTCTAGTGTCTAATCAGATCTCCTCCTAGATGTCTTTATCTACCGAACGGTACTGTCCGAAGTGGCAGCACATTACGACCCAGCGTTGTGTCGTAATGTGATTATGTGTTAAGTAAAGCAATCTTATATATGAAGCTGAATGTCTGTTGGTATGTCTGTCTGTGTGTCTGTCTATATGTACGTATTCAAATAGAAAACATTTCTCACTCCAGCCGGACCAAATTGGCACAGATACACTTCGGAGCGGGGCGGGTGTCGTGGGCTACTTTTCGTCATCGATCGACATCGATTTCATGGATTTCTATCAATTTTTTGCAAACTTCGACCTACGGGGCTGGGAGTTGGCGAAGGGGGATTTGTGAGCATGCTAGTTGCGAATACATTATTAGTCTTTGAAGTTGTCGATTATCTCTATCGATTTCATCGATTTTTTGCCAAGTTAGAGCTACGAGGCTGGGAGTCTGCAGGGGGAGGGGTAAGTGAGCATGCTGATTACTAACACAGCGGGAATAGGGAATTGGCATGAAGTGGACAGGGGGAAAGTTTGTTCAAGGAAAGGGGTGGGGCCTTTATCATAGCCTTTAATAGGACCGTGCGGAGCCGTGTCAGCCAGCTAGTATCTGATAATGCGCAGCCGATCAGGTGCAGAAACACGCCATTGACGACATAGTAGCAGTGGACAGATGCTCAGTGTGGACTGCCATACATCAGTCATGACAAAAAGATATTCGAGAAGCAAAGCCGACTAAGTTCGCAAGCTCACTTGTTGAAAATTTCGTGCTTTTTTTAATTGCAAAAAAATGCTTTTCGGTATTCATTTTTTCTCCGAAATCTACCCAAAGCACTTCTTTTCTCTGAGCAGACATGTATAGAACGACCAACTCTTCACGGCTCAATTTCAAAACTTATCTAGTTACAAGGAAAAGCAGGGTAGAAAATTCAAAGGATAAGCATATGAATGTAAAAAGAAAAAGGAAACAAGTCTAAAGCTCATTGTGCTCATAGTATGCATCCCATCAAGCAAGATATGCTGCTCGTTTACTCATCTCTCGTGTATTCATGTGTATTAGATAAACATAGAACATCCACATGTATTTTTATTGTTACTCGTTTGCAGAGTAAATTTTGGGGAAAAATTAATAAAAACTTACTCATTCTGCTTTATTGCACCACGAACTTGATAGCTTTTCTCGCAAAACGTATCAGTATAGAAAAACTCTCAAAAGAAGCAAATCTTGAACCTTGATATCTCGGAGGTACTAACACTCTTTTTTGCTATGGAGCAGCATTTGTTTTGCGGAACAACATAAGCCTTCGTCAAAGGTATAGAGCGTGAACTCTATTCTTAGCATACATCTTAGGCAAAATCATGTCAAATTCTTTTTTCAAAAAGAGACAAGCTTTCTAAGTAACTTATTGTTATAAAGAAATCTCCATAAAGCGAGAACAAGTGAGTGTTCTTTACATTCAACCTGTGTTTGATTCAGCAACATTATCGTTGTTCTTCAGTTTATCGCTTTCATCACAGCTTGATTGCAACGTAGCCATCCAAATCAGATTCCTAGAGAGTTTAATCTCTTAGTTTTTAAGCTGGAGTGAATGTTAGCTGTGAATACAGAAATCAAAAAAAATTCCTACATTTGAAAGATGTTTTGTTTTGCTATAATAAATCTACCTGGGAATCTGCCTTCTCTTCGTCTACGGGCTTCAGTGTCCTTTCAATCCGCGGACTTCTTCTAGTAGAAGAATATGCTTAAAGTAGAGTGGAATAAACTTTGTTTTCAATTTTTGGTATAGTATCGCTTACCGAGATTGTCAATTCCTAATAAATTTCTTGGTTTCGGTGTATGCGATTCATTATCTGACCTGAATTGCGTATAAATTACTAGACTTCTGACCATAACAAAACTTAACGTACTTTTTTCCATCAAAAGACTGCCTCCTCGAGCTTACATTTGAGGAACTTGCGGAGGTACCTAAATTTATTGAACAATGTCAAGAGCCTTCAATTCAAAATATAGCACGTCTGATGTAATTGGGCTGTCAGAGCCGGTGCTGTACTTTCTCTGAGGTTAGACAGCAGCGGGAATTCCTTTGCGGGTTTCCAATTAAAGACAGGTTTTTTGGGATTTCAGGGCCTGTCTCCCGAATTAACTTTCAAAGTTTGCAATAGTTTTCGTCATTCACAAGTGATTGAAAAAGCATTTGCATTTGTTTGTAACTCATATAGAGTAAATTTAAAATTTTGCAATTTGAACGTGGGTAAGAGAGGTTGTTAATTGCAGGGGGCGTAGATTTTATGCCGATGCCGCCGCAACGCCGTTATTCATTTAAACAGTTTTGATTCGCTTTATCTCAGTGGCGCACCCAGGATTTACGCTTGGAGAGGGGGGGGGGAGAAGGCGCGATCAAAGTTAGCCACGCTCCCGAAAAATTTTTTTATAAGGCTAAATTAAATCTATAAAAAATTTCAAAAATTATTTTAATTACCTACAAGTATGGATAAGTCACTTGCACATTTTTATAACTTATGTAAGGTGCCCCCCTTCTACCCCCCCCCCCTTGTACGCCACTGGCTTATCTTAAACCTAGCTATCTCTTCTCTATTTTAAGGTCTGGTCGTATGTTGGGCATAGTGAAGAGTATCCAAGAGCTCTCTCTCTTTGTAAGCAAATGTTGCGACAAATTTACATTATGAACGATGGAGTAAAATAGTCCTCTTACGATCGCCTGTGCTGTCAATGCGCATTAAATGCAAAAAAATTGCAATTAAGATTGCATTTTTTGCACAGATCATGAGCGGAGTACTTACCATTAAGGCGTAATTTTTCCAAGTTTCCGAGTCGGGCGCGATGTGTTAACGAAAGATTGTATTTGGCACTGAAATCCCAGAACCTTCAATCTAGCTCGGATAGTGGCTTTAAGGCTCGAATGTGAGATAAGGGAGATAGAATGCGGCCACACACCCCACTTATTCCTTTTTTTTCATTCGAGATCAACCTCACTTGATCACGCTTATCTGGTTCAGTCATGAGATGCAGGACTGGACTTTCTCAGCTTTACTAGTGTAACAGAGAGTTGAAGAAAAGGCATTTTTTAAGCTCTTTCTTCAAATAAAATTTAGCTTCACTTACGTTGTTTTCGACTCCAGTTATCAGCAGGATTACTGGCAGGTAATCTAAACACATTCATACTTTGTCCGTTTTCATAGTAGCAGTTAGAGTGCACTTACTCAACGCTAGCCACAGATCCAAGAAGTTCATGATGAGTATCGCTTTTATTATAATTTAGAAACATGAGATCGGGAGCAGACAAATCATCTGTTGTCAAGGGTGGATACTGGTCAGCAGTCTGGTCCACTATGGCCATACCTAACTGAATTATACAAACAATTTGAACATTTTCAAGAAGAAAAAAAACCTTGATTCATCGGTGTCGAGGCGTGCTAGTTGTGCTAGCTTAAGACTGTGATGCCTGAGTGTATACGTACGACTAAGGATCAGTATTTTTTTTATCTTCGTAGCATCCTTCGTGGATTTTTTTTCAGGCAGGCAAAACATGCTTTCACTTTCACGAAATTTTGTAATACATTTTCAATATCCTTTCGGTAAAAGTATGGTAGCAAATAGACGAGTTCTGGTGCTCGCGTTACAGTTCGAGCAATCATTTAAATCCTTTCATTTAGAGTGACGCAGCGCCAGACAGAAGGAGGCACCGTCTACCCTAAGTCAGTAGTCTTCAGCTTTTCGCAGCATACGACAGCAGAACCCCCTTTTAAGCCAGCGCCCAAATTAATATAGATTTGGAAGCGAAAAAATTGGCTCGGAGGCACAAGGACTTTTAGACGGCACCCCCCTCCCCCTCCTCTCCCCTTCCAATAATGTTCACTCGATCGTGCACGATCCAATCATCGTTCGTAATCCCCCGTGGGTTACCCGAAACGGGGATTTTGTGGGTTTGTTTTCTACTTCATATCCGGACAGGGGCATGAGAAGGCCCTTCAAAGGCAGTGGCCCGAGAAAATTCCAACTGCGCGCTTTCTGTTCCTCCTTAGCCCTTTTCATGGTTTAGACCAGAGCTGTGCTTTGAAAGTCAAATAAAAAATGCTTTTCATGGCGTTCTTCGACTTTGGAGATTGCTGAGGAGGCTGGCAATTAACTGATTGGCTACAGCCAGTCTGTTTTGCGGAGAATCTCCGCTCCAGCCTCTTCAGCAATCTTCAAAGCATAAGAACGCCACTAAAAGCAGTTTTTTCGATTTTCCAGCACAGCTCGTCTAAACGCATCCAGAAGGCCAAGGAGGAACAGAAAGCGAGCAGTTGGGATTTTCCCGAGCCACTGCCTCTAACGACAAACATGGAAATCGAAGATCTGGGAGGACGGTGCCTTTTAGCTAAAGCTAGCGGCGCCTTACTAAAGTTCGTTAGTAAGGCGCCCGCAAATGGTCAGGAACACGTTGAGAAGGCGCCGCAGGATCCACGCGAGGCAGCGCTTGAATCGGGGTCAATCCAAATGGAAGAGAGGTATGACTTAACTTACGGTTATATTTCTATCAATCAAAAAATTGCATTCAAAGTCGTCGTCGTCTTCTCCAAGCGGATTTAGCAGTGCTTCTGCAACCTAAAATTTTCCTTTGTCAAAAGTTCGTAATTTTCTTTAAAACAGAAACACACTTTCATCCATGCAACGAAGAAGAGAAACTGTAACATTGTCATGAATGGCACATACATATCGATCTAAAATTGCATATATTCTATCTTGCTATTTTTGTTGTTCTGCTCTATATTTGGAAGTACAACTGTGCATGCTACATCCACTCTTAGCATGGCATGCAGTGACTGAGTGTAAAGGAAACCATATTCAGTGCTAACTGTGGCTGCTAACTGCACGGTAATGAGCTATCTGCTTCATAGAAATCATATTTTCAAAAGCAGCGCTATGAATATTCATTTTTTTTTGTATCAGGCTATTGTATGGATTAACTTCTTCTGGCATAGCTCCATCAAAGCCAAAAATTGGTCAGAAGAAGATCATCATCATTCTAAACTACTATCCAAACTTGAAATTTTCGGAATCCGCGGACAACTGCTATCTTGGTTTGGGTCTTACCTACATGACAGAAGTATGACGGTTCGTGTAGGGACCGAATTCTTAAGCAGATTTTCATGCAGCAGTGGAGTACCTCAAGGCGGCATACTTTCGCCTCTCCTTTTCCTCACATGCACAGCAGATTTACCATCAAATCTGCAGACTCATCCCAACATCAAGGTGCAAATTTTTACAGATGACATAAAGATCTTTTTTGCTATACTGACGAGCAACAATTTGGAGCACATGAAGCCATTAACTCATCTTACAACAAATGATCGCATGGTCTAAAATTTGGAAGCTTTGTTAATGCTTCCTGTTAAATCAAAAGTGATGCACCTTGGTAATGCGCCATACATACCATGCCCATACATGTGAGGGTGTTGAGTTAGAATTATGCAGTGTTGCTAGGGACTTAGGGGTTTTTGTCGATGACCAACTGATTTTCTCTATTCACTTTGATTCGGTCTCCAAAAAAGCGCTGGCCGTACTTTTTATTTTATTCCGAAGTATTCATAACAATGATGCAGGGCTTTTTGTGAGGCTATATGAAACGTATGTTTTGCCACTTTTGGAATACGCATTCCCTGTTTGGAATCCATTCAAGAAAAAAGACATCGAGAAGCTAGAAAGAGTACAAAGAGTGTTTACTAAAGTCGTTTTCTACAGATGCTATCCCAAAAGCGATTATCGTCAATCGCTACCAGCGTACAGATCGAGAATCTGCTTTAGGATTACGAAGTCTACTGTACCGAAGAATATGTAGTGATCTGATATCTTATTTCCGTGTCATCAGACTAGAAACGCGATCAAAACCAAGTAGATACTGGGTCTTCAGGCCTTGTGGGATGCGAACTGGAAGGCTCTGTTTGGGTTACCGTAAATTGGGAAGCAGAGTCCTTTCTAAAGTTTTCAACTCCTTTGTGTGCCGAAACGGCTATGGCTAAGTCTCCTGCCTAAGGAAATAACTACCTGTACGAGCTCTGCGGATTTCCGCAAGAGACTAGCCACGATTAACGTTTTGCAATCACTGAATATCGTTGATGTTAGCTAAAAATTTACGCATCCATGAGATTCAGACTTACCTTTTTTTCACCCAAATGGTAAATAAATACATAATGCTCTGATTGATTTTTGTACCTTTACATTTTGGGCGATCATAGCGTGCTTTCCTCGCGTCGAGTAGCCGTTTGAGGAGATCAAAAGTTGGTGAGCCCCTCTTCCTTGAGGTCCCCCCTCTCGCTCGGGGTCCTTGACGGATTCGTCCGCCCTAGGTTAAAGGCAGCGTCCAGGCAAGGTCCATCCACCCAGATTAGCACATAGTTGTAAAGAGGGGCCCATGATTATACGATCTGTGTTGGTCCGATCCTTTGACGTGGCCTCTAAAAGGAGATACGGGTCTGTGATACGTATCACAAGCCGCCCCTTCGTATCACAAACCACCCTTGAGGACGAGTGCTACGCAGGTGTGCGGTTGCATTGCAGTTGCATTGCAGTTGCACTGCACACTGCAATACAACTGCATCCGTGCAGTTGCAGCTCCTCCCGCTGGCATGACGATGGGGACGAGCAATTCGAAACTTGTCCGCTCCTTGAAGAGAGGGTCTCCAAGAACCGAGTTTTCTGAGAGTTTTGAACAATTTGGACTTTACAACTGTAATCAGGGCCACGGAAAGGCCCCAAAATGGCAGAAACATGAGAGGCGAAATTTTGCCCGGACGCTGCCTTTAAGTCGCAGCCGAGCCCCGGTGTTTGTGACCTCATTTAGTTGCGTTTGGAGTAGTGAACAGGATCTCGGAACATGACCCTCACCTTCTGAAGAAGGAGAACGACCTGAACGCCTCGCAGGACTGTTACGACTACGACACCGGACCAGAGCATTACTTTTCTTCTGTCGTGTTCATATTGTGTTTTTTTTCGTGTTTCTGCAGTTTTGAGTTTTTGGTTGAGTTTTTGGGACACCAGTGAGTGTATTACATAAACAAATAAATCGTTTGTTGTAATAATATGTACAGACTGATTAGATATCTTCCAAGGCACGTTCGTAAGTTTTGTTTGAGACCAACGAGCTGCAATGTAGCTGTGCGATTGCAAACGTGAATATATCTTCTTTGCTTTGATATTTTTTCTCTACTTTTCACATCGTAATAATAATAAAGTTATATTTTAGCCTAAAACATGCTGGAATCAGCAAGGCTATCGTTCCTTTTCGTCATCACTCTCTTACAGTAAGTTTTGTAAAACTACGGTCATAAGCTCACTTGTACTCATAGCGCATAAATAACAGTCCTAAAAAAATGCAGCAGTCATCAACAACGATAATAGCACATGACCGACACACCGTGTCCGTATTTGAAGCTCCGTCGCCAATAAGGTACTGTCGTGAGATCAAGCAAATGGTAAAGTAACAGCGTACAGCAAGAAACACCACCTAAATTGGACGGGAACTTTCCCAGTATGGACTTTTCCCTTCATACTGCCGAAGGATTTCCGCGACGCAAGTATATTTTGATTACAGGACTTACCTGCGGGTAAGCAATTGGTATCGGAACCCAGTCATAATTGCAGAGTAATTGCAGACCATTTCGAAAATCATTCACTTCCTGCAAGCTCAGAGGGTTGTAGGTGTCACTCTAGCTTCGCTAGTGACGTTTGACTACACCTTAATCATGGAGTTCAATGAAGGTGCATTGATAATGTAACCTTTGTGGTATGCATCACCAATTACTGCATAGGCCCAGTTAACTGGCAACCAATATCTGCAATTCAGTCTGTTAGTTTCACTTCGGAATGGATTTTGATGTGCCAAAGTGTTAGCTCCATTACTTGCGCATACATAGATTCTAACGTATCCAAACGACTTTCTACAAAGTGTCTAACTACTTGCCAAGTTGTAGGCAGCTCAACCCAAGCAGTGAGTGGGATATTCTATAATAGTAAGTTGATTATGGTTAATGATGGAAAGTCCTTGTTCCTTCTACTGAAAGATATGACGTAGTCAACATGTTGAATTTTGGAATGTTTCTTTTCTTTTGGACAATCTTTTGTCACATTTGGAGCTACTATGTAATAGAAGAATATTTAGTATTTCTCATAAACAACATGTCCTGATTTGCACCAACCGAACCTGCGCTACAGAATTCCGGCAACTTTGCTAGCTATAGCACAGCCTTCGTACGACCCAAAAAGAACGAGAGCAGATCGCTCGCAAATATTAGTTGCATGGGGCATGTCTTGCTGGGGTTGCACGGTGCTGTGTATAAAAGCAAATTATGTTTTCATCAAAAATTTTGCCTAGTTTTAAGATTGTTTTCAGGTCCTTGCTATTGATACAGTTCATATCATGCTTTTTGGTGTTATTTCGATAGATAACACGAGAACGTTGATAAATAGGTCATCTTAAAGGCAGTGTCCAGGCATATCTGGACACACAGCTTTTTTGTGTGGAAACTGATGAAAGGCCTCAACTAAAGCACTGCCCAAGCGCCAGCGCAAATTTTTCATTCATGGCTTCTATTAGGTCGTTCCATAAGTTCGTAGCGTTTTCTGGTGGAGCAGTTGGTTTACGACAAAATATCTGGTACTATTCGAGAGGGCCGAATTTGCTCTACAAAACCTGCTTTTTATTTTCGAAGCAATTCTGATAATATTCGTTTATAACTTCTAAAAGTAAAGTTTCTTTAGTGGCGGATAGCGATTTCGACACCTGTACTTTTCGCATTCTGTCCTTATCCTACAAGTATTTCCCTGCACGTGTAGTCGGAATAGCTACTAGCAAGCAAAGCTGATGTGCTGACACCATGGTGTTCAGCCATTATGCTAAAACTGTTTGAGCGAGGTCCCAACAGCTGCAATCTTCGACGGCTGCAGCTTGAGTTTTACGCGTTGTTTCGCAACAGAATGTTCCGTTCTGCTGTCAGGCCTCGAGGATGAACAGCTTTGCCTCGGCACAAAAGTCTGAATGCAAGCGCTGGCCAGCGATTTTACGCTTTCCCAAAAGATTTTGGCTTAGAAAACTCCATCAATCCCGCCAAACGCAAAAAAATCTACATATACGGTAAAAGTGCGCTCTATCCTTCTCTAGAGTGTTTCCCTTGACAAGAAGTCTCTTTTTTTGTGCATCATAGTCCGGTAAACAGTGTTTCTTATCACTCATAACAACTTCACAAGAAAAATCCTCTGGTGATTTCAGCATATGGAGCCAAAGATGCAGATGCCGAAAACGCCATTTGTTGCTATACAAAAAACTTCGCTTTGAGCAGTTACCAAACGAAGGTCATTAATTTTACTTCGGAAATAGAACACAGGTCTTGTAGAGCGAAATTGGCTCTTTTGGACATTACAGATACTTTGCCTTAAACTAACCGTTTCACCAGAAAACGACGACGAGAATGAAAACTCTACTAACTTATGGAACGACCTAATATTTCCAAAACCCTCAGATCCTGCACCGTGACCCACTACAATTGACTCTGCTCCGATTAGCACCGCTTCGCGCTGGGACAGGTTCCTAGGCACTCGCGAGTTACGGTCACGGGCGCGCATGTATTGTTTGAGGATGGACTTCTTAGCCGTTAATGAATAATTAGCGCTGCCGCTTGGGCAGAACCTTAGTCAGTATCCCCTTTTTAGTGTCGCATGCAAAAAACGCATGCACCCAGCTCTGCCTGGACACTGTTTTTGGAAGGAATTTCACCGTCAAAAAGGTTTTAACGACACCTGCTTGGCACAAAAATTGTATCAGAATTTATTCTATCGCCCACCTCAAAAATGACAATTCTAACTTACACCTTAGGAAGCGAAGCAAAAAAAAGACGAGTGATAGTTAAACTTACTTGTTAAAAATTGCTACATTGACACTTTCAAGCAGCTCGAGCTCGTGTTCGTGCATAAGGCCTAAATAGTAAATGCAGAGGATGCAGATGACTACATTGCTGTATGATGTCCATAAAACTGAAATACACCTGAGGTAACGAGGCTTGCGAGATCTGGAAATCTACGTCTTACTCGCATTGAGATATCTCGAAAGGTAAGAATCTGCAAAATGAGGTGGGACAAATACTGCAATGATCTAACGCTTATAACTGACTTGAGAGAGGATCATGTAGCGCACTATGGATCGTTTCATCAAACGAGCCTCCTCGTGATTAGTCGAGCTTTTCAGTATTGCATTCACCGTCAAAGCACAGCTGAAAACCAGATAACTTGACAACAAGCAGATTTTTTAAAAAGTTTGCATTGGCTGAGCCTAAGCCCACTGTTTCTTGCCAAAAACTTGTAACAGAGCTCACCTGAGTTTTAGATTGCCAAGTTCGTTCGAACTCACTTTCAAGAATTCATGGCTTTTACTTTTTCAACTTTGCACAACTTCACTTTAGTCTCTTCGAAAATATTAGGTTGTGCCGAAAGTTCGTTCGCTATTTTTGAAAATTCATAACTCGTTGACTTCTCAACGAATTTGTGCAATCAAAATTCTACGTAAGAGAGGAACTTATGCTCTTTGCATCTGTACTTGAAGTGTTTTTTAATGTATGCAAATGAAGGAGATAGAAGCTCAAAACTAAAATTACTCAAATTTGAATTATTCGGGTAGGGTCATAAAAAATCGGAAACTTGCAGCAAAAATTGGAGCAGTCGGTATTGTAGGTTTTTTCACCAGCTCTTTCTAACAGTGCAAAGTTTGCGCTGATTGAGCGTCTCTATGAAGAGTTATGTTTTTCGAGCAACCAATAGAAAAGGGTGAACGTGATTTATTTTGGCATTTTTCAGGGAAATCAGAACTTTTCAAAGAGACGTTTAATCAGTGCAAACTTTGCACTGTTAGAAAGAGCTGGTGAGAGAACCTACAATACCGACTGCTCCGATTTTTGCTGTAAGTTTTCGATTTTTTATGACCCTACACGAAAAATTCAAATTTTGAGTGATTTAAGTTTTGAGCTTCTATCTCCTTCATTTGCAACGGACATTTCAGGAATAAATGCAAAGAGCATGAGTTCCTCTCTTACGCAAAATTTTGATCGCACAATTTCGTTAAGAAGTCAACGAGTTATGAATTTTTGAAAATGGTGCGAACGAACTTTCGGCACAACCTAATAACATGTAATTTGCAAAAAAACATGTTTTTAGGTACCAAGCAACTGACATGGATCACACACGCCGTAGGTCTAAGCTAGATCACCACTTTTAATGAAATCAAAATATTTTGATTGTTGCTTCCCATTTTGGAGATGGACAAAAAAACATGTTGTATGTTGTTTAACATCATGCAGGAAAGGGAGCAAAGAAGCCCAAATTATACTCTGACGAAATTTCAGGCCCGTTGATGGGAAAAAGAGCATTTATCGCGTACCCTGCATCTGTACTTTACACCTGTCAATGAGTTAAAATTTGGGTCACTGATCCCAATATCGAAAATATCATCAAGTATCCTCTCCAAGCGAGCAAGGACACCAGGTCCTTGCTCGCTTGGAGAGGATACTTGATGACATTTTCTAACGCAATGGCTTTAAACCACTTTACTTTACAATTTTTCGTTCTTTTGAATTTGAATAAAGAATTGCATCTGACAATGGATGAGAGGCAACATGCAAACCAAAAATGTGAAAACCTAAGCAATAGGGAGGTTACTTCATCAGAAACTTCATCTTTTCTTGTTGAGCTCGCTTTGATCAACTAGCTGAAGGACCAGCTCTCATAGGCAGGGTCCATACTGAACCGCACAAAGCGGCACAGTTCCAGCACAGCGCCCGAATTGTGCTCGAACTGTGCCGGAACCGTGCTGCATGCGCAGTTGGAGTATTTCGACCGTTTCTAAGGTTTTTCTTCTAGGTTTCTCTCATTTCGGGCCTTATTCCTCCACCCCGCTTTTCCTTTTGATGAGTAGAACTCCGAGCGCAAAGCGGAGTTGAGGAATAAGCGCTGTTTTGCTTTGTGTGTCCGATTATGCGTGCTGTTCTGCTCGTTCATGTCTCTTCGTTTTATCCTTGCCTAAAAGTATTCCATTTGTTTCCAGGAGGCCGCTGCAATACTTTCGCAGGCATTTTTCTTGAAGGAGAGCAAAAATAGTGCAGAAGAGCAGGAAATTCCTTCAGTCTGTTGGCCACTACTCCTAGCACCTTTTCGTTTTTATCTCATTGTTTTTTTCGTTTTTTATTTTACCCTGCTTCTCTTTTGTTGTGTAGCGCTTCGAACTTGCGCGGGGTAGAAGAAAGAGCGAAAAAGCAATGAAATGGAAAAAGAACGCGGCTGAGAGGATACATGGAGCACAACCGCGTTCGTTCTTTTACTCCGCTTCAAGTTCGAAGCGCTACACAACCAAAGGGAAGCGAGGCAAACAAAGAACGAAAAAACAATGAAATGAAAACGAAAAGGGGCTAGGAGCCCAATAGTGGCCAACAAATTGATGGAATTTCGTGCTCTTCTGCACTATTTTTGCTCTCCTTCAAGAAAATGCCTGCGAAAATATTGCAGTGGCCTCCTGGAAACAAATGGAATACTTTCATTCAAGGATAAAACGAAGAGACATGAACGAGCGGAACAGCACGCATAATCGGACACACAAAGCAAAACAGCGCTTATTCCTCAACTCCGCTTTGCGCTCGGGGTTCTACTCATCAAAAGAAAAAGCGAGGTGGAGGTATAAGGTCCGAAATGAGAGAAACCTAGAAGAAGAACCGTCAGAAACGGTCAAAATACTCCAACTGCGCATGCAGCACAGTTCCGGCACAGTTCGAGCACAGTTCGAGCGCTGCGCTGGAACTGTGCCGTTTTGTGCGGCCTACTATGAAACCTGCCATAGTCAGTTCGCTTTTCCTCGAAGGAACATCAGCAAAAAGGAACTATGGACTTTTAGTTTGGCGGAAGCTCGGTCTTCCTCAAATCTTAGCATCGTATTAAATTGTTTTCGGTACGAATGCTGGGCTTGAACAAGATGATATTATAACTTGATTGGCTGACGTGGACGTTTCGGCGACCTACACCTTCTTCGGAGCCTAAAAGACGACTGAACGAGACGACGTAAGTGTCAATCCATTTAGACGTCAAGTGCCAGGAACAAATGCTATGAACTTTAGTCTTGCACAATAAGGTAAGAATATATATGAAGATTGCTATAAGGGTAAAAATATATGACATTACCAGGGGCAAGCTCGGGATGTGGCACGCCACACCTGGGGGCAGTAGAGGGGTCAGGAAGAAGGGGGGGGGGTAGTTATCGAGGTGATTTAAAAGAATCCTAAAAGCATAAGAACATGATTTTCGTATTGGCATGTCAAAAAACCCCCGTGGGCCAAGTTTCAGCGAATTTTGAGGTTTTAGATATTGGGACACTCACGTGAGGTGGTCATTTTCGAACATGCTAACTTTGTTTCTAAGGTGAGTAAACTACTTCTTTTTGAACTCAGTACAAAGCAGTACTCCTTCTTTGCCCACGCAGAAGTCTCGCTCCAAAAGATCTCTAAATTATGGTATTAGAAGCCAACCAAAATCTTGTTTGTCCCATTTTTGCTTTCAATTTCTCAGACTAGAGAGGACCAATCAGGCTCAAATCACTTTTGTGAAAGTTACGAGGATCAGGCCTTTGAATATAATTGTTCTTGCCGCCTCCTCTCGCGATTCACGTAGTAGCGCAGACTTAGCATGGTACCGTAACTCAATATTTCCGCAGTGTTTTCCATTTGCTTAGCTAAGGAAAAACGACTATATCTTTCCACAGGAGAAACAATTTTGAATGAAATTCCTGCTACATGGAGAAGAAGGTTTAGCAGTAGCAACCATATAAAAAAGACAGAGATTCGAATGTTTTGAAGGTAAGTTAATGGGGTGTGGCACAACCCCTAAAAAGCAGTGACCGCCACAGCTTTTTAGGGGTGGTGCAACACCCCATTAACTTGCCTCCAAAAAGAATTTTAGCGAACTATAATAAATACTTACGGTTTGATGGCCTGAGTCTTGTAGTTTTCATAGGAGTAATTTGGTTTTGATTCATCTTCTTCGCTCTGAGTAAAAGCTGGTAAAAGCAGAGCCAATGGAAACGAAAAATGGGACAAACGTGATTTTCGCCCGCTTCTGATCATAATTTGATGGTAATTTGAAGCAAGATTCATAGTACGGGTAAACAGGAAGTAGTGCTTTGTGCTGAGTGCAAAAAAGAGTTAGTGATTCACTTTTCAAACATAGTTAATCATGTTTGAAAATGATCGCCTCACTTGGGTGGTCCAACATTGGAAACATTCAGAATTTGCTAATACTTGGCCCATGGTGGTTATTTGACATGGTAATTACGAATAGTGCCTAATTATGCATGGCAGAGCCTTATGTCATGCCTACGGAAGCCAAACGATAATGCTGTGGGGGGGGGGGGAGGGGGAGGGGTATCGAGATAGAATATAGGGGGGGGGGGTCGAATCCGGCGCTTGCGTGCCACACCTCTTACTCGACACGCAAGGACTTGTATTGTGGTTTGTTTGAGAAAAGGCAGTTGCTGCTAATATCATGCGAGCTCCTACACTTCTTCTCAAGTGTGCGGGTGCATATTTGCTGCCCTATGTTCTCCCATTTTGACCACCGATCCATGAGCCTGGATGGGTCAGTCAGACGAACCCTCCTTTAAGTGGTTATATTAGGTTGTGTGATAAGTTCGTTCGCATTTTTTGTTCCAATTTTTTCTCAGTGCATTGTCACAAAGCATTTGGCATGATGTTTGTATGCATTCGGAGGCTCTAAGTCTGCTCTACCAAACTGCTTTCATCATACTCCCAGTTTCATAAAGGTAATTGAAAAAATTCGACTACAAACCGAAAGATCTGAAAGAGCAAAAATCTCATTTTCGACTGCTATGTTACGCTGTGTCTTGAATGGGTTTGAATGCTTAATAAATAGCTCGAATATTTTGCGAAGCGTATAAATAGAATACTGTAGCTTCCGCAGATTACTTACAGGTGCTAAAATTTTTCAAAAATTCATAGTGTAAGCTCAAGAATAGGTACATATGTTTTTTATGTCTCTTCGGCGTCAACGTTAAGCATCTGTAGGCACATGTTTTTAATGTCTCTTCGGCGTCAACGTCAAGCATCTTTAGGCACCTTTAAGAAAAGGTGGTAGCCGAACAATTCAGGAATTGGCTGACAATGTGGTCTATGATTGCTAAGTCATCAAATAAATCGGTTTTGTAGTCAAAAATCCAAAATTTGGGGGACACACAGCCCATGTACGCGACGTTTCAACGAACGCCGCTGGGGCAAAGCCTTGCTACGCCGACTTATGCAAAAAATTGCATTAAATGGTCGGCGAAAGGGAGTGGACAATCGTAAACAGTTTTGGTAAGTGCATAAATGATTGGTTAGTTGTTTTTCTTGTTGTCAATAAATTTTAACACATTGACGACCGCTTGACACACATGGTGTGCAATGACTACCGTGTGGGATCGCTTGACACACCATGTGTGTCAAGGCTTGAAACTAGTTGAAATGGCTACTATCCTAGAATATACTCACTCCATGAGCTTTCTTTACTGAGTGTAGGGATAACCTCTGCCTTTTTTGTTGGCCTTTCAGATTTACTGTACAGTACTCACACTAATTATTCGACAGAAAACGCAAAAACTGACGATCTGCGTTTTTTTCGTTTTTTCTTCATAACTTCCTTCAAATCGCATAAAATACAATTCCGAAGAAAGGATGATGCTCAGCTCGTCAAGATGAATCTTCTGATATACTGCACTCTCGTACTATTCTGTTTTCAATCTGCTCGATTTTTGTGTGAGGACGGGTATTCGTAATGGTGTAACTCAGCGAAGAACACACATGGACGATTCTTGTAAACATGATTCAGCAGTGCTATCCCCGTAGATTATTATGTACTAGTGAATAGTGAAGGATTCCCTTTCCATTGGGAAAGATAGGCCGTTTAATTTTGGAAAAATCGATGTCTCTCAAATTTTCGTTACCGTGACCGTACAGTAAGACGCTAATTTGCAAAGCAGGTGTGTTTTTCGTGATCAGCACGTAAGATAACCTCTATGCGCAAGTTTTCCAAGGAATTCGAAACCTTTCATTTTTTCTCGTTCCTTGCTGTGAAGCACGCCGACGGGTTTTGGCTAAAATATTGATGATCTTGGATTGACCGGAAACTTCGCCCATAGAGGTTTTCTGATTCGCTGATTACAGAAATAGTGCCCTCTGTGCAGCATAAGTTCTTTTGGCAGAGTTATGCTGAGAGGAATGCTGCGATACTACGCAAGTTCCTAAGTTAGTCTGCCCTTTGCGCGTGTCTGTTGGACAACTTACCTGCTCCTTTTTGTAACTTGAAATCATTAGAAGCAGTGCTCTTAGAGCTTGCTTAAACTGGGCCCTTATCTGTATTAATCGCCGAACTGTGAGCTGACGAACTCACGTCCTCATGAAAATCGTTCGAAATTTTAAGATCGCATATTTTGGCCAAATATCGCCGCGAATGGTTACAGATGACTCTGATTGTAGATATTATGTTTATATACACATGTAAATTGATAATTTATGCAATTTCAGAATCGCTCCCTAATTCATAGCAGATGGCTATGGAAACTACGCAGGGGTTTCCTGGAACAAATGGAATAAGTCTGTGTAAAAAAGTGAAGAGAAAATGGACGAGCGCAAGAACACACATTTTGTCGCATACGCAGAAACAGAAAAGCGCTCATTCTTCAACCCCGCTTCGAGCTCGAAGTTCTGCTGACCAAATAAAGGAGCGGGGTAGAGGAATAAGGCCAAAATGAGAGAAATCTGGAAGAAAAACCGTTGAAAACGGTCAAAACTCTCCAACTCCCGCCGTTCAAAACGCGTGCGGGGCGCTGCAGCACATGCAGCACAGTTGCAGTTCCCGCACAGTTCCCAGC